TAACAGATGATAATTTTAGGATGACAGAAGAACTCATCAGGAAGCACTGCAAGGAGAACAAGTTGTATCAAACCCCATATTTGAACGATGTTCTGTATTTGCATTACAAAGGCATGCACAAAACTCGATCGATAACGTTAATCATATTTAATATATGTATCAATGATGAATTTACGTTTTTTTAGGATTTTCCTTCATCGAAAACCTCGAGAAATACACGGGTCTAAAGTGTTTGTGGCTAGAGAGCAATGGTATATACGAGATTGCCAATTTAGAAAATCAGAGCGAACTTAAGAGCTTATATCTGCACCACAACCTCATCAGCAAAATCGAGAATCTCGACTGCCTGCCGAAGCTCGACACCCTGAATCTCTCACACAACACGATACGGAGAATCGAGAATCTCGGTGACTCGAATCGTGAAGCGGGTATTATCCCAGATGACCTTGACCTTGACGTGCCTCTGCTTTTCAGACGGCCTCAAGTTCCTGAACAACCTGAACCTGTCGCACAACTATCTACGAGAAACCGCTGACATCGAGCATCTCCTTCTGCTGCATACACTCTCAATCTTGGATATCTCTCACAACAGGATCGACACCTGCGACATCGTTGACGTAAGTCGATAACTACGCACGGTGCATGCAATACGCACAACCGGAATATATTTCCGAAATGACAGGTGATGTTACGGTGAAAACGCGATTGGAATATATTTACGTATTAAATAATGTTTGTGGTTGCAAACTGATATCTTAACCATTAACTTAAAAAATTCTACTGCAACTATATTCATTAACCCTTTACTCAAGTGGTTTTTTTTTTATAACATAATTATTCGTGTGGGGTATATTTTTCATATTCTCAATGTTATATCTTTATTTCAATTTTTATTTCTTTGGCAATTTACAATAAAATAAAAATTGATAATAAGTTTTCTAGATACGGATAAATATAATTTTTTAAAAATATATGTATACTAAATACAATAACGTGTATACTTAAATAGCATTAAGACATTTATAAAAGGAATTTATAAAAAGAGTTTTGGATATCCCATACTAGTCATGAAGGGTTTATTACGTTATGAACTAAAAGCTTAATAACTTTTACCTATTTTTTTCAGAGATCTAAATTAAAAATATGAATCTACAACATATTTAAAAAAATGCTTTACATATATTAATACAAAACATCTCTATGATACGTATAATCTCGTCGAGGTGTCTCATTTGCCGCAAGTGCGAGCAAAAGTTGAACTGTTTAGATTTTGGGAGACATGAAGTCGTTGCGCGTTGTAACGTTGAGTGGCAACCCAGTGCTCAAACAGATAAAGATGTATCGCAAGACGATGATCCTTAAATGCAAGAATCTTCAATATTTAGACGATCGACCGGTGTTCCCACGCGATCGTGCCTGCGCCGAGGCCTGGTAAATTTATCAGCAAGAACACGACATGTGAGAAAGTAATATCTCGTTAGTCTTAAAATATCTCTGAATCGACACACAGGATGCGTGGCGGTGTTGACGAGGAGGTGGCAGAGAGGAATCGGTGGTTCCAAGCGGAGCAGAAGAAAATCAACGACAGTGTTATGGGTGAGTTAAAAGATTCGTTACTCGAAGCGGGCCTCGAAATGGCCACCCCTTTGATTCCTCTCACCTGTTTCTGTTCCTCTGATCTCGGTTTTTGTTTACCTGTCGAATGTTGCGTCCGCCCTCGAAAGCCCTGATAAACAAAAGGAAGCTGTGCAAACCGGTCGGGACGTCCGAAAAGGAGGCGACAGATAAGAAGAAGAAGGAGAAGAAAGAAGAGGAGGACGAGAAGGAGGAGGAGGACGAAGAAGTCACGACGAAATCAAGCGCGCGCACCGCGACAAGGAGCAGCGGACTGGTAAGAACTAGTTTCGTCAAGGTCTGGTACAGAATTCGTGCTTTGAATAATATCACCACCATCGGTCCCGTCGGCTATTTGATCATTCACCACGTAAAACCCGTACACCTCCCGATCTCCTACCATCCATGATACCGGCCACGATGAACGCGCTAAAGCTCGACCTGGAGAAGAAGAAAAAATCTGAGGAGCGATTCTTCCTCGGTTCTTACGACTCTCCGTTGTCGTCGTCATCTTCGGAAGACGAACAGCTCGCAAACGACGAAGAAAACGAGCGCTCACGGCAAAAAGGAGGCAAGGAAAGTGACGGAAGGAGGCCAATGGCGGAGCAAGAGAAAAAAGTTTCCGATGAAAACAATGAGGAGCTTCTGCTGCCCTGGAAAGCTAAGGTATGCAATTCTTATCTTCTTGTAATAAATGGGAATTTAATAAGAGATGTTAAAGAGTTGTTCATATGAGTTACCTCATGGTTAGGTTCGAGAAGAGATTCGATCGCGAACGCTGATCGAAGAAATATCGGAATCTAAATATGACATCATTGGTGATACAGAAAGAAAATGGCACGGAGATCAAATTTTCAATAACTATGAAAGTATATACGATTCACTCGGTGATACTATCGTCAATAGGAAGACTGTTTCTCCTAAGAAAGAAGTATTGGAACTACAATTAGAAAAAGAAAAGACAGATTTACAAGAATCAATCAGTAACAATAAAGCTAACGGTGAGCAGATTACATCGTATTTCCTTACAACACAACTCAAAATATCACCAAGTTTATATTTAATGAGCTAAAATGATTAAATTTAAAGCAAAACAATATTTTCTTCAAACTTCGACCTTCAAAACTATTTAAATTCTAAAAATTCTCTATAGAAGATTTTTTTTTCTTACAAAAATATATAATACAACTTAAAAAATATGTTTTGTGCAAGATGATAACTTAAAAACTTAATTATCAAATTGTTACAATGAAGATTACTCTAGCAATTATCAAAAGTTAACTTTACAATTTGTCCGTCAAATAGCACTTACTAAAGGTTTTTTTTAAAGAACTCATAAGATCTTCCACAAAAGTTATAAGTTGTGTTGTTTTGGTAAATAAAAAGTAGTGTCTTTTATAGACAATATTAATATAGAATTAAGACAATTTTGATGATTGATGATCTCCTCTTCGTATTGTCGATTTTGGTCTTACAAAATTATAATAAACCCGGAATATAAGTCTCTCTCATTAAATGTAATATAACTCGAAACATCACAACACAACTTATATTTGCCTTGAGCAATTAAAATTACTAAATTCAAAATAGAACAATAATATTGCAATATTTCGAATTATGTCATTTTTAATTATTCCAGATTTATTATATTTTATAGATCATCAAAATTATCAATTCAAAAAAGGTGGTTTTTTTAAGGGTTTTGAGAGAAATGAAAATAACAGAAATAACATTCGATCACGTTTCTAAGAATATATTCTTTTTACCGATATTATTTGATTAGTTGATAATTTTCTGTTAAGTTGAAAAATAATTTTTACTCTTTTCTAAAAAAATTAATCTTTGAATTGTGTCACTTTTGAAATAAGAGAACGACATTAAAGAATTAATATCTTGATGACACTTTCAAAGATACAGTTTCATTAACAAGAAATTATGCGCATGTAGGGTAAGATTGCCGAAATTGCACCACTTTTGCACTTAAAGATTCATCACTCAGAAATTACGAGGAATATTCTTAAGTTTTTTTATAGCCCAATAAACTGCACTCTTTTCTCTTTCTTATGTAATTTTTTCATAATTTTTTTCGTTATTATAACATTTAAAATGAAATAATTCGAATTTTTTCATTGCCTAAAAATTGCATCGTACTAATATTCCTCATTTAAAATATTAATAATGCAAAAAAAATGAAAAATTATATAAGAAAAGGAAAAAATTGTATTCCATTATGCAGTTAAAAACGTAAAAACGTATATTTCATAATTCCGAAACATATGATAATTTCAAGAATTTAAGGAATTTCTGTGTGAAACAAAATAAACACTTACGTTTACATCTTTACATAATAATAAATGGAATAAAAATATAAGAAATGAAAAAATATTAGGTAACGTGCGATTTAAAAGGTTAGATTGTGATTTCAAAAAATCACATTATGGTACGATTTAGGAAACTGAAGCATTTTTAAATTTTATATATTTAATCTATAAAAATATGTAAAGCAAACTTTAATCCTATTAATTTAAATTTAATAATATTCTGATCACGACTAATGGTCAAGACTTAGGCTATTTAACTTATATTTTCTGTAATTTTGCTATAAAATACGTTGAAATATAGCAACGCCATCACGATTTATTTATTTATATAATATAAAATAACACTATTGCGCTCCTATTATGTTTCACGAGCATAATGTAGCAGCATTGCAATATATACGTAGCAGCATGTAATTCTTAAATAACCCGTAAGAAAATATATATATAAACGCAATAATTGAATTTTTAAGCGAGATAGTGCGATTTAGTAGCCGATGCGATTTCGACTTCTTTTATCCTAATCGTAGAAAAATATCATACATTATCTATAATTATTTTTATCTTAATTAAATTTATTTTATTTATTCTTATCTCGAATAAATTTCTACATCATCTATAATTATTCTTATCTTGGCAATTAAAATTGTTTTTTACAGATCGTAAAAGCGAGAGAATGTTTACCTGTTCAGTATCGTGTGACACATCAGATCTAAAACAGATATTAGAAGAATACCATAAACCTGCTAACGCAGTCACCAACAAGAAAGACGATATATCGAGTAAAAATATCAATAGCTATCAAAGAAAAAGCAGAGACTATCCGTTCGGTTCTAAACTTAGCAGCATCCGAGAAGAAATGAGAGAATTCTGCGACAGTATGGATAGGTTTGTTGACGAAAACAAGATAGTGTTCAAGAATGGCGAAGTGGAGGGATTCTGGGGCGAGAGAAAGATGGTGGACCAAAATTTACAAACTGATTTTGTTGATGATAGCAAGATCCAAGAAACTGGGACCAAGGTTTCCGTGAGCGAAGAAGGTAAACTACGATGGTGGAATACCAAGGAAAGAAAACTGAAGGTCAAAGAGATATTAAAGAAGCGAGAGGACGAAGCAAAGAAAAACAAAGTGGAAGTAGTAGAAGATATCAAAAGAGTTGAAAAATCCGATCGCTGTTCGTCGAAAGATAAAAAGCAGCTGACCAATGCTACAAATTATTTTCAGGATGTCTACGATTTGACATTAAAAACTTGCCCGTCAAATGTTCTTCCGGATTCAATGAAAACATATTCCGTGAAAAACGCAGAAAATTATGAAAGCGAGCAATCTGTAAATATACAGCAAGAAGAAGAATCGCACGGAGTATTCCATAGTCTCTTTGCTGAATTGAGAACCCGGGACATTCGGGAGTGCATACACAAATCGAAAATTTCAACTGAATTAATAACTCTAGAGGAAAAACTGGATAACGAAAAATTAGCCATTGATACAGAGAAGAAAAATATCTGTACTCTCATCAATACGAAGGATCTTATTAGTTCTAATGAACAGTATTCGGAATGTGAAAATAGTGCAGAGAAGAATAATTCTGCAAAAATCGAGATTTTGGAAGACAAAGTTAACGATCTTTCATTCGAATCTCCGGAAAGGAAGAAAAACATCGATGAATCTGATGACGATTCCTTTAAAACGGCATTATCCATTCAAGAAGATTCGCAAATTTTGGAAAGCAGTTATGAATTACCAAAAGTTTTAAAATTGACTAATAAGGAAAATAATTTTGACAAAATTATTGATTCAATTCAAAATGAAAGTATCGATCATTCAATGGACAATAATTGGAAGGAAATAATTTCAAATAAAAATTATAACGACGCGATTTATGAGAAAATCAATGATGAATTAGAAAAATCTTCTGATAAAACGGAGATATCAAAAACCGAGCGAGAATTTTCAATTGAAACAGAACAATCTAATTCTCAAATGGAATCGCTCGTTCGAACGATAGATCATTTATCTCTAGAAAGAGCGAGTCACTCTTCAAGACTGACAGGTAAAAGAACTCGCGAAGCGGAGGATGTCGAGGTGAGCAACAAGAAATCTTTTCTCATCAAGGAAATGAATCCCGGAAAGAAACTGGAGGAACGCAAATCTCGTAGTCAAATCTCTGAAAGATGCAGACAGCATCTGATACAAGAAACGAAGAAATTTGCGAGGAAAGTTTCACCGTTGATCGACAAATGCATAACGCATCTAATAAAAGATACAGAAAATGCAAACGGGAAATCGCAATGCTATAAATACAATCGGAGAAATCTTAAAGAATACTTGCCATCTGATTACACTTCAAAAATGAATCTTAGTAAGCCTGCGGGCGATTTTGGAGAACGAAATAATTGCCATGATAAGTATGACAATAAATCTAATGATGCGACAAATACATATTCTGAAAGACAAGAATTGATGGCGGAACAAACGATCAATTCACAATTCGCTGCATCTGCTCATCCTTCTGGTAAGATCGATATATTGATATACACGAAAAGAATAGTTTTGCTGAAAAATTAAAAAATTTAGCTAAACATATTTACAAATTTGAAAATAATTTTATTGGACTATAATTGTGTTTGCTATACAATAATTATGTAACCCATACTGATTGATAAAATATCAAAACTTTTTGCAACGATAATGACGCGATTTACAAAAATTAATGAGAAAATTAATGACGAATTAGAAAAATTTTTTGAGATATCAAGAGGAAGCGAGATTGTTTATAACTATTCATCGTGCCTGAATTTCCTATATAATCATTTTAATGGTCCAACAAAATTATTTCCAGATTTATATCTACTTAAATTTTTAGAAATGTTTTTATCGTGTAAAAAAAGAATGTAATTAAAAATTAAAAATTATTTAGAACTACATTTATTTGTTCTAGATATCCAATCACTTGCCAATCTTTTTCGACAATCCCAAGACCAAGAGTCGCAGTCGCCAGCAGTAAATGCCAATGTATCACTTTATGAAGAATTTTGCGATCATCTGCATAAATTAGAGAACAGCAAGAAATTGTTGATTAAGCCAGATTTCATAATAGACAATAATCAATCAGAAGAAATATTATCTAATAATAAATTACAGAATACTGAATGTTCGGTAAAAGAATCAATTAAACCACTGATCCAAATAATTTCTGAATGTCCTATGACGTCTAAAAATTCTGAACAAACCTCATCAGAACGAAAAGAAATTAAACTATTGCATGGCTCGCAAGTTACTTCCTATTACAAACAGAAAGATGTTAGTATAATATATAATATTATAATATAGTGTTCGGCAATAGGAAAGATGAAATTTAAGAAAGGATTCTAGATGATAAGAAAGTTGAAGACTAATAAAATTGTAAATTTGGCTTCGTTTTTTATACAGTCATAAGTGTTTGAATATTTGTGTAAAAAGCTAATCTAAAGCACATAAATTTTAGACATAAGTATAATAAAAGAACGAAGCGTCCATCAAAATTTTGTTACTCCCGTTTTGGATCTGAATGTTTAAATATTCATGTAGAAGTGTTTAATACATACAAATGTTTAAATGTTTGTTAATTATAAAACGGAGCCGAACTCACAATTTTGTGATTCCTTATTTTCATCTTTTATTCATTCAGAATTTTTAAATTATAATCCATCTGTTGCTGAACACCTTATATGTGTATAGAAAATCAAAGCGTTATGTAATATAAAAATTATTACACACACACACACACACACACACACACACACACACACACAAAATTATTTTTGTGCTTTTGGTTCATAAAAAGTTTTGATTACAATTGATTAAAATGATATTAATTTATACATTACCTTCAGGCTATCCTTAGGAAGTCCGAAGAGGAAACTGAGACATCTGATGATTTTGAAAAGCATATTAATCAAGAAAGCGCAGTTAATTTAAAAGAAGGAATAAAAGTCGAAACGTTTGCAACATTGTGTACAATAGAAAATACAGAATACAAGGAAGAGTGCGTATTACCAAATGAAGAACGCAAAACCGTTACGACAAATATGAAAAAGAGTATAGAAATGCAAGTTGCACAAGAGAATTAAAATGGATCATTATTTTACTACATTATTCTTGGATAAACAATCGCAGTTAATGTACATAACGCACATTAATCGAGAAAAAACTGTAAGACTAGGAATGGACTTTACTTTCGAGAAAGCAAGTTTCATGCGATTAAAGACTTTGTTATAGGCGATATAACGTTCGTTAGTTTAAGTTTAAAAAATATTCAATATTTTTCTTGCTCTTCTATTTGAAATAAATGTGTTACTTTCATAAGACTCATTTTAAATGTGGAAACTTGGAAACTTTATCGAAAGAAACGACAGGTGGTGAAACAGGTCGACCTTCTACTACGTACACTTTATTTTTGTGTCCACACTCACATCAATTATATAATAATAATAATAGTAATAATAATAATAATAATAATAATAATAATAAGAATGACGATGGCGGTGATGTCGATGAATCGTAATTAATAATAGTAATAATAATTAATCCGTAATCATGTGCAATGATAACCGGTCGCACGCAAAAGAAATGGTAATCTCTGTCACGTTTAAATATATTATATCTTTACCGTCACCTCTCTCCATCAGCCTATTGGCTTCCAGACGGATTCTAGATAGATCTGAGATCACTCATTCCTGCAGAAGCTATCACCTTGATACTTGGCAAGAAGCTCTTGATATTATAATATATTTATATAGAGTGATACCGCGTGTAACGAAACTGTCCCCCTTCATCATCCGACTTCTTTCATCTTTATCACTTCTCGTCTTCGCGCATTCCATTTCGTTTTATTTATGCAGAGGATCTATATCCCTTCCTCTCAAACAAATGTAAGGATTATATACCCGCTAGGATCGTTTATAGGTTTATAAATATGTATGTATATATATATATAT